CCCCCCCCCCCTGCTGGGGATCAAGCCAGCAACCTGGGCATGTGCCCTGACTGGGAATCAAACCAGGATCTCCTGGTTCTTAGGTCGATGCTCAACAACTGAGCCACCCCCGGCCGGGCAGATTTAGCATTTCTCACAAGTAACAAGGTAATGCAGATACTGCTGTTCTGTGGACCACATTTTGAGGAGCAAAGATCTAGGTGATAAAAAGAAAATCTGTGGGCAAATAGAAGAACAGAAAAGGTAGACTCACACATAAACCAGACAAGAGCAAGCATCCACAGGGAATATTAAAAAATGAAGAAAAAAAAGTGATGCTCTGATCATCCTTCAGACAATATGCCTACTCAGCAAATGCTTAAGAAAAGAAAATGTGAGCTGTCCAACCATATACCTCAAGAAGAAACAGCAAAAAATATTCTTCAAGCTCTATTCTTTATCAGAAGATGATTGAAGTTACAAAGATAAATCAACCCAAATCTGTTAAAATAGTTCCTTTTAGAAATTCAGGGGAAGGGAGAAAACTAAAAGAAAGCTTTCTAAAACATCATTTATGGTGAAGCTCTGCACTTCTCAATTTTTAAAGAACTTATTAAACAACACCTTTGGATTTACTTTAAAAATTAAATGCATAATATATTCACATGGTTGAAATGTTTATAAGGATAAATATAAGAGTATAAATATATACATATGTATGCATACACACAACAAAATCTTATGCCCACCCATTTCCCATCCTTCTATGTTCTAACACTATTTCTCCATCCCCCAACTACCTGAGGTACCCACTGTTATTAGGGAAAATTATATTTTTAAGTAAACAAGCATAACTATGTTAAAATGAAGGTGGAAAGTCTAAAATACAAAGAATATTTAACTGGGAGTGAGGAGACTTGAATTCTATAACCATCTTTAATACTAGTCAGCTGTGTCATCTTAGTTAAATATTACCTCTCTAGGTCACAGTTTCCTCATATATAAAGTGAGCAGATCAAGCTATATAAATGGCAAATAATTTTTAATCTTAGGACCTTGATATCATCAATAGGTTACTTGGAGTCCTATGTTCAGAAGATTGCAAACTTGCCTGTGGTATAGGAAAGAAAGAGTGGCATAGTGACATTTCCATCATTGCAGAAAGTTCTAATGTAGAGAATGATTTCCATGCGAACAATTTCATATAAAATCAGGATGGAAGGAGGAAGGAAATCTAGAACCTACCTTCAAGCTCTGAGATGCCCATAATGATGGGTATATAAGGTATATAACTAAATAGGGTGAAGGGCTTGTTCTAAAAGCATATAACTTTTTAAAAGTATACTCTTTCAACACTCAGAGTAGCTTTTTAATGGCCTATGCTGGCTGATTTCCTGCAGTGTTGGTCAGTACACTACAGTAATCACATCATTCTCTCCATAGTGCACAGGCCTTTGAAACTTTTTAAAAAAAATACACCCTCTCCTCCACCAAAAACTTGCTTTTGTATTTTTCAATAATCAGTAAGGCTGTAGGACTCACAAAATCAGGGGTGTTTCTTCCTCTGCCTACAAATGTTACTGTGGAGCTAAAGTAACCTAAAGGGACCCAGCCAAAAATGCTGACACTTCAAAGCACTGCTATCAGAATTACACTCAGATACACAACACCACTGCAAATATAATTCACAGTATTTTATAGTCTCTTTCTTCTCTCCATGTTAGGTGTGCCAGATAAAATACAGGACATCCAGTTAAATTGAAATTTCATATAAACAAATAATTGTTTAGTATAGCTAATGTACCATGCAACATTTGGAACATACTTATAGTTAAAAAAAAAATGTTGTTTATCCGATATTTCAATTTAACTGTCTGTCTGTATTTATTTGTTTAGCTAAACCTGGAAACTCTACTCCAAGTTGACTTTCTAAGATTTTACTTTTAAAAATAAATTTGACATATGCAATGACAAGAACAAAACAAAACCTGATACGTGGTCAAGGGAACCTATAAAAAAGCTTAAAATATTTTACCTGGAAAATGTTTTTATCCCAGAGTTTTGCCTTTCCACTTTCCTCTTGTCATTCAGATCTCAACTTAAATGTCATTCCTTTAACAAGGTTTGCCCTGGCCACTTACTCTTAAGTGGTTCCGTAGGCCCCTTTATATCATTTTTATTTTATTTCCCAATGACTTTTATCACTACCTGATATTTTCTTATTTGTTTGTTGCCTGACCTCCCCCTACTATAATGAAAACTCCATTAAAGCATTGATCTTGGCTATAATGTTCTTTGTTATACCTAGAATGGTGCCTGACAAATACCCTAAATATATGCACAATACATTTTTATAGCCTGAAGGCAATATAGGGTACTTGTTCTAGGACATAGGCTTTGGAAATCAGGTTAAAATCTTGGCTCTCTGTAATCTCAATTAGGTACCGTAACTTCTCTAAGCCCAGTTTATTCACATAAAAACAGGGATAAAAATAGAAACAATGTCATAAAATTGTGAGGATTAAGTGAGGTAAGAGTAATCTGAGCATTTTGGTCAAGGTTTAGGGACAAGCAGGTGCAGATCCATCCCTTACTACCACCACTCAGGAAAATACCTATGCCTCAGTTTCCTCATCTGTACTTTATATCTTTTAATGCCTCACACAGTAGGAAAGGATATTAAATGGTAGGATGCACATAAAGCACTCAGCATAGGGCCCAGCACATGGTAACTGCTCAACAAATATACTCAATGAACACCTTTTAAATATAAGACCTACACTTTTGATATAGGCTAGGAACATATATGAAGTATGGTGGAAAAGAAGGAGCAAGTACCTGAATGGTAGTAAAACTACCTCTTAAGAGTGGAGTCAGAGAAACCTGAGTCTAAACCCAGTTCTGTATTATCTGTCATTACCAGGAAAGATCTCCCCATCTATAAATGATAATAACAGAAGCTACCTTAGAAGGTTGTTGCATTATGTGAGATAATGCATAAACATTTCTCTCTAGCTTACCACAGCGCCTAGCACAGAGCTTGGCAAATATTTCTGAATTTACTAACACATGATAAGGCACTTAGCCTGGCACATAGTAAGCATTCAATAAACATTTGGCATTGTTGTTTGATGCTATTACTATTGCCATTATAGTGTAAATTGGGAAGAGTGAAAGTGAAAATTACCATTTTTAGCTGACAGCCTAATGGGAAGCTGTACTCTTGGTTATAAATATTTTTTCATGAGGACTCAGATTCAGATAGACATTATTTGTTATCCCAGATGATTTACTTTTATTATTTTACACCTGATGTAGATTACAAGTGCCCAAACCACAATATAAGCATGAGGATGGTAGGGATCATATTTCTCTAAAACCAGCCAATACCTAGGTTTCACTTAATGACTGGAAAATCTAATCGTGGCTGCCACCGTGATATCTCATTTCAACTAGTCCTGGAATGAGGCCTAAGTAGGCATGGTGTTTGTGCATATATTTGGGTCAGTCTGATCCCTCTTGACCTTCCTTTATGTAAATAAAAATTATTAGATTGGAACTGTCTCCTTATCATTTTCTTGGGACAACATATTTTAACCACAGGCCTTCAAAGCTGCAACCCAGTTTCCCTTCCTTAGGTCCTTAAGCAGACTCTTGCTAATGCCCATTTTTTCCTTTCTCTTTCTTTGTTGTGTGTCATCCTAGGCTGTCATGGTGTCCCTGCTTACCGATTATTCACCTCAGCTCCAGAAGCCAAAGTTTTAATGCTGTGATGCTGGTCAAGAGAGAAACGATGTTCTTCAGTGACAGAATGAGTCAGTTTATGGGGCAAGGAGAAGAGAATCTAAGAGAAATAAACAAATGGAATAAGTGAACAATATGATATTTCTTTGCCATTGTGAATCTTTCCTAAAGCCCTTAATTTAAGTATTGATGCACTGTAATACATTGCTTGACTTAGTTTCAACTCTTAATTCACAATTTCTGAGTTACATTTAGGTATCATATTAATAATCATATACATTTGCCTCAACTAAACATAAAATACTGTGTTTATAATGCATAATGTCTAAGCTATTAGATGTAATCTATGCTTATTACCTTAATAAATTATCACCCATGCTAATTTATAAGTAAACATTTGCCAGGCAGTCAGCTGCTGGTAGATCTGTGGGCTGTGTTCATATCCCCCAGGACCAACAAAGAAGCCAAATGATCCATTTTACTGATATATTGCAATTTTCAGGCAAATGAGGTAGACAGATATTCGCTTACAAAGGCAAATGATGAAATTCTTAGAAAATGGCTATAACTATGCCCAAACTCTGGAGTTTTTTCCAGTGATTTGTGGGACAGAGGGTCTTCTAGAGCACACATCTCTTTTCTGTAATGAATACTTAATGTTACAACACTAAGGAAACATTTGTGAACAGTGGTAAAACCACGGATACCTAGCTAGGAATGTACAATCCATTAGAGAATGACATTTTCATAGGTTCAAATTGTTCAGTAGGAGCAATTTAATTTTTCATGTTTGTGCTTATCATGTATCTACTCACACCACACACTGGTTATTTCCATAAATCCACTACTTGCCATATTTTAGCCCAGTTTTCCTCCAGTTTTTCTTCAGGATAATAAAATTTGCATTACTGAATTATTATAATGTAATTAAAGCTAAGTGTCTCTTGTGGATGACTAAAATTTAAAATGTTGAATTATTATGATATAATTTGAAATTTTTTTCTTAAAAATTTAAGTAACATAAATGGAATTTAAAAAATAATGTGTTTTTACAGAGGACAAAATAGTAATTACCTCTACATTCCACCTCCCCTACTAGAAGAATATTTTCAGGCTGGTTGACTGCTATTTTCAGTAGATATCTATGACTTAAATAAGTGAGTAAGAATTGAATTACAAATAAGATTTTCAATGAAGATGCAATAAAACATATTTTGTAGGAGAAAGGGCTCATAATGTTACAGGGGAAAAATCATTTTTTCTAGTAAATATCAAAGGTGACTTTTGTATCTGTGGTAATTTATAAGGAGCACTTAAGAAAGAAATAGTAGAGTTTAGTGGACTGTCTTCTTTCAGCAGAGGGTATAGGAATGATTTAACCAGAAGGTGTTATGTGGATTGTTGAGGCTCTCCCTCAAACTGCCTACATGTAAGGGACATAATCCTGAGTTTCCTTCCGCTTTCTAAATGGTTCCCCATGGGTATGAGCTCTCATCTCTTTACTAGTCTTTCTTTGAATTCTCTGAACCAAATGGAAGGTATGATCTTCGTCCCTCAGTAAGAAAGAACTTATAAACATTTTCTTGCCAACATGTAGCCACTTTACTTCAAAAAGCCCCAAAGCTTCCTCTTTATGTACACACAATTTAATATCTTTCTCAACCCAAATCTATAGAAATTTATTTGCTTTCTTAGTTTTTCATTTTAAGAAGATTTTATTTATATTATCAGGAATAAAGAAAATAGTAAAGGAAAAAATAGCCTTAATTTTTCCCAAACTATTTTTATCTCTTGTTTCTTTTTACTCTTTCCTTACTCATTCCCTTTTCTATGTAAGTACTGCAACAACAAAGATTAACAAAAACTCCAGCAATGACTCTTGGGTCTCTGGTATATAGAAGAGATCCTACTGATTTTAACAATATAACTAGCCAAAGAGTTCCTTTCTTCCAGACTTCCTCTACTGTAACATTGGAAGTAAAAACATCAAGTGATCAAAATGCAATGATTTCAATGCCAGGGAAGAATTATCAGTTGTTTGGGTTTTTTTTTTCAGGGATAAGTTTCTAATAAGATATTTCTAATGGATATTGTGCTAATGATTTGACTATTGTAAGATCCTCAGGCAGAAAGATCTGTACAGACTAGCATGGCAATGCCACATTAGACCTCATTTGCAAGCAACACTAAAACCTCAGTTAAAATGGCAGGACCCCTTGATCTAATGTAAAAGTTCCAAGTCAAGTCTTCTCATATGATAAAAATGAATGATGAATACATACAGAGAGGGTATCCATAACACATTCTTTTTTTTGGCTTTTTTGTCTTGAATTCTCTCATCAATGTCTAGATTATGGAGATGGTTGAGGCATGTCTTGAGACATGGTGCCACTCAGCAATTTTGTAGGATTGATGTCTTTTGACAAATATGAGAGGCCATATCAAAGAATTAAAAAATAGTCAAATCACAATGATCAGACTCCTACAACCAGGAACACTATATACTGACATACAAGTTGTGCTCTATGTAAAGGTCTCAGATGAAAAGTGTGAGTAAGGGTTGAAACCTGGTCTGTACTTCAGTTACCAAGTCTTGTCCCACCTTACAGGCATTATAGCCAGGAGGAAGGGGTGACTTTTTTGTAAGTTGTCTACCCAGAGGGAACAATTTTCAGTATTTCATAAGCCTGAATAGATGCTTTAAGTCACACAAAGGGCCAGTATCTGGTAGGGCTGGCCCTACCATCAACTATTTACATCAAGAATTTTTGTCAATATCACCTTTTATTTGATTAAAATGAGACACGTATGGACACTTCAGCGATGGTTTTGGTGTCTTGCCTCGGTTTCTGCCATAGTTTCATTAAGACTCCAAAATGGAAATGAGAGTATCTGTCCACATTTATGTGGCAAATACATGACACAGATCATTGAAGCAGGAATTTGAGGTAACCTCTGCAGTTCTCCAGCATTTTAAAGAAATTTATCCCTAATGTCCAGAAAATTTAATATCAATTATTGATAAAAGATCTTGGTCAGAACATGTGGAAGTGAATTCCCTGGTATGGAGTAAATCTTTCCACAGTTTTAATAGTGTCTGAATTATATTCATGACACCCGACTCAGTTTCTAATCAATGTTTTTGTGAAACTCACTCCCAGAGGAAATGCACGCACAACTGCCTTCTGGAGCAAAATCATTAGGCAAATGAATTTTTAAAAAAGAATGAGGTTTAGAAACAATCCAGACCACTCCCTCATTTTACAAAAGAAGAAAATAGGAAATAACAAAATGTTCCTAGGATAGAAATATATTCTACAGGGAGGGATAATGCATCTGTTCAACAACCCTCTGCAATCTATATGGGATCCTACAAATGTAACCACATGATTTGATTTACCTCATAAGCTGAGTGAGGAATAGGAAGCTGGCTGGTCTAGGACTATGGTTCTGTGAGCCCAAGGGATAGAGAGGAGAGTTCACACCCGAGGCAGGTATGGGTACAGATATCCAGGGATATGAACAGAAATCCAAAAAACATCCATGTAGTAGACGCTGTTGTACCCCTCCAGATCCCTTTTACCTGGGTTCACCCATCTCCCAGTGTCTGTCAGAGTTAGCTGCTAATGGCTCACTGCCACATCTTTTTCTAAAGAGCTACCATCAGCCACCAGGAACCACTCAGGATGCAAAGTTGGACTCTCACCCTCATCTCATCACTGGAAGTCCACAGTCAATGAAGACTAATAGAGAGGTGTACCAAAACTTGGCTTGCTTTCTTCCAGGCAGGACCAACTTTGTGGTGAAAGTCATGCATCAGAGCTCCCCATGGGATCAGGCTGAAGCTAGGATCTGTTTGAGACCACATCCTTGGTTAGCTTTCCATGCTGCTAACCTGCTTCCCTTCTCCTAAGGGTGCTTCCTCAATAAATTATTTGCACAATCCCCATCTCAGGCTCTGTATCTAGAGAATTTGATCTAAGATGAACCATAACAAGATTTTTCAGGGTTCTGTACTATACTATTTATCTTTTAGGCATCGAGGGCAGAGTAGGGAGACAAATGGTAACAAATGGTAAAAAGCTTGTGTTTAGCAAGCAACAACTTTTCTGGTTACCAGGATCAGCCCTTAGAAGGAAGTAGAACACTATACATAACATATATTATTTTTCTATCACATGTTCAAATTCATAACAAGGAATGTATTAGCTCCATGGAATAAGAGACCAATTTGCTTTGCCCAGAGAAGAGTAGATCTGAGTTAACTGACGCAATGTTTCAGATTTATTTCTATGATATTTTAGTACCTTTCTAGATTGGCAACTCTGGCAGCTGTTTAGTTGGTCTGTCCTTTTTGTTGGCTTCCTGTTCTCCCCCAATCTTCTTACTCATCAGTTCTGAATTGGAGCCTGAAAATCTGTTTTCATCATGTTCCTAGGGATGTTGATGCTGCTGGTCCAGGGACCACACTTTGAGAATCATTAGCCTGAGATAATTCTAAAGACTTATTTGAGATATTTTCATCCCCATATCCATAAAGTACCATCATAAAGCACTTGACACAACCCAGATTCTTTGAGTATTAATCTGTCTTTGGAGCAGCCAAAGCCTGGGTTTCATCCCTCCTCTGCTACATAACAGCAACCTAACCCTGTTCTCCTGACTTGCAAAATAGAAATCACAATGCCCATCTTATGGCTTGTCTCCTGAAGTTGGCAGAACCCAGCAGTTGACACTTCAGTGGGGACATCTTTTTCTGTGGGCTGGTTTGTAAATATGCTACCCAGGTGAGTAACCTGGCTCTTTGCCAAATTGCATCATGGAAGCCAACAAGTCTGAAACTCTAATCAAGCTGACTAAATTCTTTGCTTACCAAAGCATGGCAGGAATGTACATTTATATGAAATAAATCAAAGGCATTGGCAATTGTTGGACTTGGGGTCTAGCAGATAAAAGGGGAACAGGATAAGAAAACAACTCTCATCAGGGTTTATCCATCTTTGTTTGAGGCTAGAACTGCTCAAAGGAAGTTTTCAAACTGTTCTTAAAGCAGCAGTTCTCAAACATTTTGGTCTCATAGCCTCTTTACACACCCATAAATTATGAAGATTTCAAAGAGCTTTTGTTTTTGTGGGATATATCTGAGGGATAAAACAGAAATTTCAGAAATATTTGCGAATTGGTTAATTCTAAAATAACAAAAACTCAAAGCACCCTGATGAACAAAGTGGATCCAGTAACATAGAAGCTCGGAACAAACTGAGGGACCTCAGAGTGAAGGTGGAGAGGGGTGTGTGGGTGGGGAGAGATTAATCAGGGAACTTGTATGTTTATGGGCATGGCCCATGGACGTGGACATTGATGTGGAGAGGGCCTGGGGGTGGGA